TGTCTGGCACCTGTTTCGAATCGACGTACATGCTTTCTGTTCCAGGAATTGTAATCAGGTGCGGAGGCGGTTTTCTCGGGTCCACGTAGATGCTGTCCTCGGGGTATCGGCTCGATGCAGCTACGGATGTGTATTTGCTGGATGCTCCGCTTGGCGGAATGTTGGCATCTGTGTACGTACTCCCAGTCCTAGTTTTGGTGACGATAGAGATTGGTTTTGGAGGTGGCTGTCCTGCGTCTGTGTAGATGCTCTCGTCATACCTGCTCGATGTCGCAGAGATAACGGAAGCTGGTTTTATTGGCGTTTGATAGATGCTCTCGTCGTCGTATTTGCTGGAAGCTGTCGTGAGATGGGTCTGCGGTCGGCTGGCTACGGTAACCATGCTTTTGGTGTTCTTTCCGGAGAAAGATTTAGGCGAAGGTGTAGGAGGAGGTGGCCCGGGGTCAAAGTCGCCGAGGTCAGGAGTAGGTGTGGTGGTGATTTCATTTCCAGTAAACGGGTCCGTGGTAGCTCTGCTGGTTGCTCGGCTCTTCGAAAGTTCACTCCCTTTACTGCTTGGTGGGGTCATCGGGCGCGGGGGTCGTTCCATGTCAGCCAGATTGACAAAGGAGCCAGTAACTTTGGGGTCCAATGTTGGTGGCCTGCCCGTGGTTTGCATGCCTCCGGTTTGCGGAGGAGTTGGCGGCGGCGGTCCAGGATCAAAGTCACTAAAGGTTGGAGTGGGAATGTATAGCCGGTTTGCGAAAGGATCCAGACTTCTTGCATCATCTGGATACGTCTTGACTCCTTCTCCTCCACGCATATCGTATGCGGTTGCGGGAGTCTGGAGACTCCGACTCGGTAGGCTTTGCTCCGTGGCAGGCGGAGAACTTGACAGCAGCCTAGTGAAGAATAGCCTCAACGATGGGAGGCACGCGCAACCGATTCCAACATGCATTTCGACGGCGGTCCAGGTCCACAAGTTGTATAGTGCCCAAATGTTGTCGTAGGTTTTGTGATAGAATTGGTAGATGAGGACGCACCGCACGGTTCCGCAAGCACACACACTGTTCCGGTCAGCGCCGTCTTTGTTTGGTGGTTTTCAACTCACAATAGTCCCAAAAAGAAAATGATGCCCAAAGCAGTATGCTGGCGACCCGAAAATTTTAGACCCCAGAGAATGACCATAGGAAGGATGCAAGCCAAAAAGTCCTGCGCGACGCTGATGGCGGCTTCTGCAAGAAAGGCGGTGGATTCGTCGAGACAGCGGTAACTGGTATAGTCTGGGTACATCTGCTTCCAAAACGCGTCTAGAGCTTGGCAGTTTACAAAGAGCATAATCTCACAGACGGTCATGTAGCAGGTAACGAAGCCGATGGAGGCCCAAATTACCCAGTAGAATATTACGGAGAAGGTGGAGGGGCTGACCCGCCGGTAAAAGCAGAAAACGGAAATCTTGGTTAGGGACGTGCTGAGGATATAGCAAAAGGTTGCCGTCCAATACATAAGGCGCGCGTCAGCGGCTTGTGCATGCGAAATATCCCACGCGTGTTTTCCAACACCGTAGCGATTCCATCCTGTTCAGCCAAAAATCAGCAAGGCGCAACACGGTTCGCGAGTCAGGAGTAATAACAGAGGCGAAGGGATGTCCGTGGACAAGCAGTCCGACTCCATCCTTCGGTTGCTTAATTGAAACCTCGCTAATATAACATACCTAAAATGACCGAAACGTCGAAGCCAACCATTGGAAGCTGCACATGTCAGTCGAATCTTCAACTCGTGCATGCTATACGTACAATCGCAAGCGCAATCAGTGCGTCATCAACACCCGCGTTCCGGCGAAACTTGAGGCGCGCAACCAGTCTCGCAACGACGACGGCAGAAGCGAACGCGATGAGGAAGCCCAGAAGGATTACAATCCCCGAACCTTTGCTCTGACCCCGAGGGTACTGGTCGGTGTCGGAAGCCCACGCATCGAGAGTCGCCTGTGGCGGATGGAGACCTCCGCCCATGTTGTAGCATCCCTCAGTCCCTCTCGGTCGTCCTGGGCGTGGTGTTGAAGGTGGGCAGTTCGCGCAACAGGGCGATCGGATAGCTACAGTGCGGGCAATGGGTTTTCAAAGTCCAAAGCCACAACAGAATAAGGCTCGGTGGGCAAGCAAGGCCAAGTGCATGGAGCATCGGTCCCCCAGGTGCCATGGATGCCCTGGTGGCGTTGCGGACCTACCGGACTGTCGGCGAATTGGGTGGCTTGGTTACATGAAGATGGCTGCTTGCAAGCATTGTGGTGGCTAAAAGGAAGCATTTTCAGTGGACAACAAGTGCTTTTCTGACGCCGCACTTCCTGTTTTGCAGCTTTCGAGAGGTGTGTAGACGACGGGACCGACTTGCATATGATTCTCCATGGCCTGCAGATCGCAAACGCCCAGGGATGCGCGGCCGGGTCCAACCGCCCAGACGTCAACAGTCTAGGATACCTCTGCCTGTACGGCAGCTCAAAATGCTGACTAGCTGCGACATGCTCTCGACGAGGGCCGCAGCGGCACTTGGTCAATTACCGAGCAAATGTCCATGGCGGCTGCGCTGCTGGCTAGTGGACAATGCACAGCTCATCCATTCTGGGCGTGCAGAGTTGAAGTAGCGTCTAGGAACGACAGGCTTCAGGATGTGGAGGTTTAGGGATGGGGATTGACGTATGTCTGCGGTATATTAGCTTTGGCGGAAGATTTTCCCATTGGCCGAGGTGCAAAAGAACGGTACAGGCTCTCTCTTGAAACAGTGAACAAGGTCAATGTCGAAACCAACCCCGCGCCGCTCGACTCTGCGCGCGCGATGGTTCTGCGTGGAATCGAGATGGTGCATGTGGTTGGGTGATGGAACGCTGTCGAGCTGTCAGGTACAATCTGGTGCAGCGTGGGCCGTGCGCGACGCCGGCGGCCAATTGTTTCTGCATCCAATTTCATCAGACAACAAAGACGAGAGAGACCCTTTTGGGCCGGGATGCGGAGAGGGCGACACTCCCGCAGCGTGCCCTCGACACGGGCCACTGCCCAAACGGGACAAGCGCCGAGCTGCATGGTCCACCCGCTGCAGACGCTCCGCTCTGCTCTGCTCTGCTCTGCTCTGCTCTGCTCTGCTCAACAACAACAAAGCAAGCCTCATCACCGCTTCAACAACAACCCTTGCTCGTCGCCGTCCAATTCGATCCCGCCCAACCGCAGAGTTCCAGGCCACCACTACATACGGAGACACGGTCCGTCAAACTTTCCCAAGCATTCCGTACGCCCGACAAGACCCCATCGCAACCGTTGCCGCAGGTGGCGACAAATTTGGCATCCGCACACCCATCACCCAGACCGCATCGGCCCGGACAACGCGCGCGGCCGGACGTTGTCAGCGTGACCAGAAGGCATTTTCTGCAGGCAAGGAAAGTATAAGGTTTGTGTATTGCAACGTGCGGCTCACAGCGTCAAAGCGCAAAGTCTTTGATATAAACGGTCAGCGGCCGCTCTACTTATGTCATTTGCCCATCGCTTTCGCGCCTATTTTTGGAGCAGATTTGAACGGGAGCCGTGGTAGGCTGTCAGGCACGGAGGTGACTGATTTCATTCATGGATCTCTGCAGACAATCCGGGCTCTCCCACTCCGCAGCCGTCTACGCTGCTATAGTCGGTGATATTCATGGTCGCCGAATTCTTTCACAACAAGCCTTGGGGATTGGCAGCTGCCATTGACGTACGCTCTACGTCGGCCAGCAGGCCCGCGGCTTGTACCGTTCAGTCGACGCCCGCCGCAAGAAGCACGCTTGGCCGACGTAACGAACTGAAAGCCTACCGAAACGTCTCCCCGGTCGATTGATTTGCGGCAGGCATCTTCACCTCTTGGCTTGACATCTACCCGTGGCACGTATGCGACTGGGCACTTTGACACAGCTGCTGTGCCTGCGCCCAAACCACCACCTCTCGAAAATATTTGAAATAGTTGCGTCCCGTCTTGCTTGGCATCACACACCCATCACACCCATCACTTGCGCGGAGAAAGTGCACCCACACAGACCACTGGCAGCGCCGGCATGCTCCCAGTTCGCGGTCCGGTTCGCTCGGGAAGGTGGGTGTGGCAACCCGCAACCATCATCTCTCTGTCGACAGCACACGCACGTAGCGTAATCGGAATGGAGCGAACAGGCCCGACTGATCAGCGCCAGCTCAGCTTCTGGCGGCCTTCGACTGATATTCCGGACGAGTGAAAGCCATGGATTTGCATGTGTATGCTCGCCCAGCCCATAACAGCACTCAAGTCGATTTCGAGGAACATGCGCGCGCTAGTATCCCACAAACAAGAAGCGCACAAAGCGCCAGGTTGGTAATGATGAGGGAGGCAAAAAGGCATCGCATGCCAGAAAAACAGATTTTCGCCTCTACAGACTGATCAGATGCAGCGCTCGCCCAAAGTCGCCGTCATCGTCAGAGCCAAAGTTCGCAAGCTGCGCTGCTTTGGACCCAGTATCAGACTCGGCCTCAAAATCGGAATCATCAAGAACAGCCGCGCAATGAAGTTCGCCAACAAAACGTAAGCCAGCTTGGAGCATCTCAAAAGTGTTTACCAAAGAAAATCGTGCACAGATGACATGGCAAGGGGGCTTCATAGGGCGTGTGGGGGTAGACTTTAAGCGGCGCGATCAGAGGCTCAGGTACGAGGGGAACAGCTGGTAGGGAGGGTCGCTAGCTAATGTAGCTTTAGCTATGTAGGTGTTGACGAAATGAGCACGGTTGTTGTCTTTTGACTTTCTCTCGTGTCAATCAACGAGTGTGCCAACAGAATGACAAAATAAAGTGAAGGCTGCTAGCATCGATCCCATACACCCTCTTGCTGCAATAGAAGTACGGCTAAGCCACTTAAATCCTCCTCTCCTTTCCCTACCTCCCTCTCATCCTAACCGCGACACACTACTTCTCTCCTCCTCTCCACGCCGCTTTCTGGATATATGATGTTAATTTCCACCGTTTTTGACAACAACACGAGCGTTGGTGGTTTAGTGGTAAAATTGATCGTTGCCATCTCTCAATTAGTTCGAAATTTGACTCGATCAGCCCCGGGTTCGATTCCCGGCCGACGCATTTATTTTTGCGCTTTTTGACTGAGTCGAAGCATTCGGGACAAGTTGGGGAGTTCGTGGCGGTCATGGAGACGTTTAGGGTGGGTTCAGGGGGTCAGAGGGTGAAGGAGGTGGATTGCCAGTGGGGGTGATGGGGGGCCGAGGTGGGGTTGGACTGCGAAATGCTAGTGCGGTTGTAGGTGGGATGGAGCAATTGTGCGTTGTGATCGCTTCTATTTTGTGGAAGTTGGAGCGCTTTCTTTTTCTCTATTCCTTCGGCCTAACTTCTCCACGCCACGTTCCTTTCTTCTCTTTACTCCCCCCCTCCCCCCCTTCGTCTTGATTCGTCCATTCGAAAGCTAGATACTGATAGACTGATGGGTTAATTGAATTTGAATACTTCATGTCCCACCTGCCGCAGTATCAAGACAACGGGCAGTGGTCTACCTTAGCGCGGAAATATGTACAACGTCATTACTTCAAGACTTGAAGAAAGGCCCAGACGTGGTTCTCACGCTTAGAGAGGAGTGTATCCTAAATCAGAGACACAAAACTCGAGAAGTCATCACCATATCAAATACCCCGCACCTTCAGACTGTCACTGACCACAAGTTGCGACATTGTGTCTCAATTTTGTTGACATTTTTTTCTCTCTTTTGTATGTACTCGTTTTTTCCATCTCTTTACACGCAGTTGCAACTTGCCGTCATATGTACACGCATCATGTACATACTTACAAGCTCTGTACAACCCATCCCACCATACACACCCGCCGCTCTGAAAAAATCCCACCCGCTCCTCTACCCAAACGCGCAAACCAATCAATCCGTCAATCAATCATTCCACCAATGCCAATGCCAACGCCATCACCAATCCCTCTAGTGCCTTGCCACTGTCACGACTCCAAAATGCAAAAATAAAACGAAGAAAGAATGCGCCGACCGGTGAGTAATCCAACCTATCCTCTAAGCCAGTCAACCTCGACCAATCCGCCAAAGTTGAGCCCGAGACCGCCGATCGACTCCTCACCCTTTGTCGCGTCGTCGCCGGTGCCAAAATCGTTGAACGAAAACGAATTGCACACGTCGCCCATAGCGTCCATGTTCATGAGGGCGTCAAAGTCAGCCGTGACGCCCTCCTCGGCCATGGCGGCGCCGTGTGCGGGGCCCGCCGTCGCCGTCGCGACGGGATTGGTCGAGGAAGACGTCGTGTCGAAGAGGTTGGAGAAGCAGTAGCCTTCGTCGGCGGCGGCCGCTTCGAGGGAAATGTTGGACCAGGGGAGGAGTGAGGATGAGGGGTCGTTGGACGTTGTTGTTGCCGCGGCGCCGTCACTCGCCGTGCTCGTCAATGGGTTCATGTCCATGCCTGACACGGTCATGGCGGGAGACTCGCCCGTGCCGTTGGCGAGTGTGACGGCGTCGAGGTCGGGCTGCGAGGCGTCGCTTGCGTGGTGGTCCGAGGCGGGCGGTGTCGAGGCCAAAAAGGTCTCCAGGCGACGGGCAACCTCCTCATCAGACGTGCCGTCGCCGCTTGCATTGCCAATGGTCGAGCTGGGGTGAACATGTTCGGCAAAATTGTCCGGAGGCGGCGTGATGGTGTTGTAGGGCGTACTCAGCGAGTTGGGGTTGGCAGTGCCATCGAGCTGGCGGCTGACAGCAACGAGGTCGTCGACTGAAGCCGCCCCGTCCGCCTTGGATCGCGCATTCTGGGATGCTAGCGGGGGTGGCGGAACTGGGGCAATGGTGATGCCGGCCTTGCGAATTGCAGCCTCCAAAAAGGCGGTGCTATAATCGGCAGCGGCGTAAAGATCTCGAAGCTTACCCATGACGAGCATGCACTGGCAAAATCCGCGAAGGCTGGAACGACGCGTCTCCTCATCCTGGGCTTTGATATCGAGAAGGTGAATGATGATGGCCGGCAAGAGAACCGTAACACCAGTAGTGGGCAAGTATCTAACGAGATCCAGCGAATCCAGTTTCTGGGCAATGCAAGTAATGGCAACAGCAGCACGGCGAACGTGCCGACGAGAACCTTCAAGCATTTCGACGGTTTCAGGGTCATCAGCCCCGCTAACGGGCGTGGGAGCAGAAGGAAGGACTTGGGGCCGATGGAGGGCAGAGAGAGTCGTGTAAAAAACCATATGCAACAAGGCCTTGTGGAGGTCAATCGACCGGTTTCCCGAGGGCTCCTCTTCGTACTTGGCCTCGTCCGGAAGCTCATTCTGCCACCGCTGTAGCTCTTCGTCGCAAGCCTGCACATCACATTTCTGCGAGTCGAGCTTCTTGGGAAGTAGCATCATCGTGGTGCGATCATTCATCAGACCAAGGTTGTTGTTGAGCACACAGTACTGCTTGGACAAGACATGACTGATGCACAGGCACAACTTGGCCTTTTGAATGCACAGCTGGGCAAGCTGGCGTTGCTTGGAGACGTCACGGGCAATGACGCACGTGCTGGGTATGCAGGTAACGTGCTCCGGAATGGGTTCAAAGTGAAAGTCGTCAAGCGTCATCATTGGAACGTCGTAGTCCTCGTCCTTTATTCGCGTGGGGCGACGCATGCCCAGTGCAATGAGGCGGTCACGCATGTACGTGGACCACCAGATTCGCTTCCACAGCCTGACGCGCTTCGGGTCCATGTTGGCCTTGTTCGGATTCCGGTGGAGTCCAATAGTGTGGGCCACCGAGGTCGCCACGCCCATCCAATGCCAAGTGTCCTTTTGGTCATCGGGCGTCTCGTAATAATACGTGAGGAGGAGCAAGGCCTGTACAAGAGACACACGATCTTGCTCGTAGTCAAAGTCATACAGAAGCTGTTGAAGACAGTCAATAACTGTCAGTGCACCCGCGTCTGCGGAGCAATCATCCCTCTCAACTCACCCTAGTCTTTTGGAAAAAGTCTTTTCTGGCTTCTTTCCTGTTCGAGTAGCCGGCCTTGCGCAGGAACGACATGTCTGCAAAGGCGCTGCCTGCAAACATGACGGCCTGGAACAGGATCAAGCTGATTTTGCCATTGCTACCGTCTAGCGAGTCGGCCGCAATGAGAAAGTCGTGCAAGTCCAGCAATGGCATGAACGGATGCACAAACTCGACGTATGCACGCAGCAGCTCCGTCTTTAGCTCGGGATTAGGAATAGTCAGGGCGCCCTTCTTTTCCAGGTACGCAATTTCGTCGGGCCCGATCCGGGGCGGCAGCGGCTTGATGTACAGGGGCAGGCCGGCGGGGCCCTGGGTTTTGGGCGCAATGTTTGCAAAAAATGGTTGCTGAGAGCCATTGGACGCGATTCCCGAAGCGCTGTAGCCAAAGGGGCCGTAGATGGTTGAGGTCGATGCCGTGGGCATGCGGCGGTCAAGCTCGGAGAAGCTGTAGTTGAGGCGCTGTCCGTGGGTCGCATCTGCCGTGCGTCAGTACCCACACCTAGGTGCGCGATTATCGTCAACGGAAGACGGCGAAACTGACAAATGGAGTGTGGCACGTGTTCCTCGAGGTTGAGAGCGTCATCATGTGACTGGCGCTGGCCATTCAGGGTCGACAAGCCGTCGAGGGCGTCGCGCGAGGCAAGTTTGCGCTTCCCCACATTGGCGGCGGTGATGTCGACGGGAGCAGCGGCTGCGGGGTTGGAGTCGTCGTCCTTGGTCCACTTTCTGTTGCGACGTCAGCTTGACGGATCAATGGAGGAACAAAGTCCGAAAGGATGGCTGGTTGGTTCTGCATGCAACGTGGGAGGCAAGCCTGTCAGCTGCAGCGCCCCGCGGACCCTTGCTTGCCATGGCTGCCAATGACTTTTGCTGGTCTCAAACAGTCCCAAGTGCCGACTTGCCATGCCACATCACAATTCAAAGGGAGACGTACTTTTTCCTGCGCGACTCTGACACGATGCACTCGACCTCGTCCAGCCTGCAGTTGGTGCAAGGCGCCCCGTGCTCGGTGACGTTACACCGCACTTTGCGCGCTCGGCAGCATTGACACGCCTTGGAGGCCCTCCTCTTGACAGAACGCCCGTTGCCATGGCTGTCGAGGCCGGCGGTAGATGCTTTGCGCTTTTGCTGCTGCTGGTGGGATTGCTGAGATTTTTGCGGGACGGGGCGAGGGCGGTCGACGTGGTCTGCTGTAGAAGCCGGAGAGGCTGACATGATTGTCATGGACGAGGCTCAATGGAGCACTGGCAAACAAAGGGTGAGAAGAGAAAATCGAGTTTTGAAGCTGTGGGAGCAGCAGCTGAGGATTTTGTTTGCTAGGGCCGGGTCAGGGCCGGAAGCGGGTAAGGGGATGATGGAGGCTTTGTAGGGCGCGATGGATTCGGCGTCTTGTTCTGTGGAGAAGCGGCGGCACCCCGGATTCGCGCAGATATGGGGTCGTTGGCCGCCGCTAAGCTCGGGCGTGCCCGGGTGGAGGCTTGATAAAAGGCGGACCAGAGACGTCAAAGGAAACGCAGCAGTCAGTCACACGCCGGGCCAACGTCATGCATCGATGGTGGTGCTGGGCTGGATCTCACTGTTTCCAGGCGGCCAAACGGGCGGACGGCAACCAGGGCATGCCTCTGACTGGCGCAGCACCGCAGCATGTGAGATGATTCCATCGTGACCCTTTTGAAGCTGTGGCGCTACGGCCGCAAAGCCGTCGCCTTTCACATGCTTTGCAAACCATGGCTCGTTGCTGGTCGAGAACAGCTATTTAGAATTTCCAGGAATCCACCGCCCAAGCTGCGTGACGCACGCGGACGGCCAGCTCTGCGCGCAGTCTTGACATGTCACCACCACTCTTGCTGCTGCGCCGTGCTCTCCATTCAATGCAAACGGAGAAGACTCGGATCAGCACCATCATGGTAGTCCACACGTATATCCCTCACTGCACTCGCTGCATCTGCTCGACGAGTACCCGCCCAGATGTGCAAGACAGGGGGGCGCTGCGTCGGCGGCGCCCTGTTCATGTCATTCTGGACCCGCACAGCTGTGGGTCCCGTTTGGGGACGGACCTCGAGCCTCGAGCTCTCGACCGAAAACTCAACAGAAGTCGTGTTCG